TGTTCCCATCTCAATCTTTCTTTGTTCACTTTACATGATGTAGGCTGCTGCTATAGTGGAAAAAGTACAAAGCAATAATGCGATAGTATCAAACTTGCAACATGGGAAACAGAATTAGTTTCTAACAGTTTCTAACAAGTGACGCCTCAGTCAAGTGGTAGAAGGGCACTTAGATTTGGGAGACATTGATCAAGCTACGTAGTCGTATCAATTGATTGTTCTTTGTCCCATTTTTTATGGTTTTCTTTTGAATAATTCGTTAATAATGGAAGGGGGACATTTATCTTAACATCTCTTAGCATAAAGAGAAAAACTTTACAATGCCGTTTCTGGTTAAATTTAAATAATTAAATGTATCCCCTTTCTAATAGCTAAAGCTTTTAGAGGGGGTGGATTAACATGATAACATAGCCAAGAAAAGTGCATGGTTTAGGTCACATTGCCACCCATTTGCGAAAATCGTGCACAAAGGCAATCCTGCACATGAGGAGGCTTGTTCAAGATTAAATTTATATAAATAATGTGGTCTCTGAAACAACTTAAGCTTTTAGATGAGGTGGTTCATGATTATTATGAAGGTTACTGAACAGTAGGAGTGTCTAGAGGTTGTTAGTCATTTACTTCGTTTGTTGTCCTATACTATTATTTTTTGATTTTTAATTTGTTTAAATAAATCAACGGATCATTCCTCTGTACCAAGTAACGCAGATAAAAGTGTTATATAACAATCTTTGTAATCGTTTTTTTTTTTACATTTTCGACAGTGGGGATGCTGATGCTGTAGTTCCAGTTACATCCACACGTTACTGTATAGATGCTCTAGAACTTCCAACGATTAGTCCTTGGCGTGCTTGGTACGACAATGGCCAGGTTTTTGCTCCCTATCTTCTATCTGATTTTACACACTCATCTATTTTTTAAAAAGTAATATGAAATCGAACTTGATTGCTTTATCAGCTGAGGAACATGTGTTCATAATACCACTGCAAACTAGAAAATCATTGGCCACCAAATTATTGAATTTTATCTCATTGTAATGGTATGTAACAGGTAGGAGGATGGACACAAGAGTACCAAGGACTAACTTTTGTGGTAGTGAGAGGGGCAGGCCATGAAGTTGCCCTGCATAAACCCAAGCAAGCCTTGACACTTATCAAGTCTTTCTTATCAGGAACTTCTATGCCAAAACTGGAAAAAGTTACTGATTCATAATCCTCTTCCCTGTTTGTGCATTGGGAGGAAAGGTAGCTGATAATTATGGGAATTAAATGGTGTCATTACCACTAAGATTTGTCGGTTTCGAGTTTCGAGTTTCCTTCCCACTCCTTGCATTTCATTAGATATTTAATTGGGAAATGTATCTATTTTCTTTTTTATTGTGTCGTGAAAGGATTCAAATGTTCTGAGTTTTCTCTTTATGGAAAATATTTTTAGAGGTAAAGCAAACTGTCGATTTCTGTCTTGCATTTCATTTCAATTTTTGACTAGTGCCACTCCACCTGCCTCTGCAATATCTTGACTAAGGGTCGGCGTGGTTCCAAATATTCGGTTTATAATAAAATCGGAATCGAAACTCATTTTTTATTACACATTATTCCAATTAAATATTTTACACATAAATTTAATTTTTTTCTTACTTTTTCAATCACACATTCTCGAAAAAATTATTATTACAAAATATATTTTTCCAAAACAAAATGGAGCTCAAACAATTCCACGTTAAATGAGAAAAATTATCTCCTCTCTTCAAGCAAGTCCCCAAACATGCTCTAGATGAGTATGTAAATACTTTGTCTTGTAATCGTTTGGGAATATTTTATAAACGATTTAATTTATAAATAATAGATAAAAATGAATTATTGAAAAGAAGATAGTACTTAAATATATTAAAATATTTGGTAAAAATGATGTTTGAACATTTATAAATAATTTATAAATGATTCATAAATCAAAAGGAACCTAAGTCGAAATTCTATCAACTTTCTTGAAATTACTATAGTGTCAGTAATTAAGCTATCGTTTGGAGAATTTTATAAATTATTTCATTTTCAATCACACATTTAAACGGATTCAATACTACTATTCACTTAATTTTGCTCTAGTTATGATCCTACACTTTTTAATAAAATAATATTACACGTAATCTCAAATTTTTTTCTTATTTTTTAATCGCATATTCTTTATCATTCGACTATTTCAAAATCCATTTTTACAATAAAATGGAGTTTTAACATGCTCTAAGGCTATGTTTGATTGGCCAATTTTTTCCATGGAAAATGGAATCCAAATTCAATTTCCCACTTTTAACTTGTTTGATGGCTAAAAAAATGATCACTTTAATGAACAATTTCCATGAAAAACGAAGCCAAACGAATACCAAACTTTCAACATTTTCTAGGAGGAAAATTATACCAATCAAACACAATTAATAACAATTCCCAGTAAAATAAATTTTAGGTTCCATTCAAATTTCACATTTCCAATCAAACGAACCCTGAATGTTCATAAAATTCTTCTAAAATGGAGGCATAAAAAATGGTTATTGGCGCAAAACGTCCCTACCTTTGCCGGTTTGTGTGCAAAACGTCCCTACCTTTCGTTTTTTGGTGCAGAACGTCCCTACCTTTACATTTTCTTGCCCAAAACGTCCTTTTCGTCTCTTTTTGACCATTTTACCCTTCTATTAAAATAAAAAAAACACAAAACAAAAGAAGAATAAATAATAAATTGCAATTATGGGTTCAAACTTTTAAAAATGTGCAAATTAGTCACAAAGATGAATTAAAACAACCCAAACAACCGGATTTGAACACCATTGGAAAGCCCTTATCACAACCATCAATTACCACAAAAAATCCAACCAAAACAACCAACCAAATTGAAGAAATCAGCCAAAAAAGTTTGAACCTTTTTAAAAGTTCAAACCCATGATTAAGCATTTAAGCAGCAAATTATGGAGTTTAGGTTGGGTTGATTCATTTAAAAATTTGAACCATAATTAATTTGCAAATTAGCTCCAGTTTAGAAGAGGTGGAGGTTGGGAGGCGAGGCTTGTCAGGGTTGTTGATGTGAGATGAGTGGGAAGCGGGATTAGGGCGGAGAGAAGGGACTCGATACGAAGGCGACGCTTTCGTCGTCAATGTTCAGCCGCATCTTCCTTGGCGGAGGAGAAGCTATAGGGGCGATATGGAGTGGATGGAGTAGGAGAAGGAGGAAGGTCGTGACTGAGACGTCCGATGGCAGTGGTAAAGCCAGAGTTGGGAGATTGGAAGCCATTGGTAGTTGTGTGTTGGGAATCAAAGTTAGGGTTAAGGACCTCGACGGCGACGACTGCTGTGGTGGTGGCGGAGGAAATGGGTGTTTGGAGAGGATTGGTGGTGGAGGATTGGCGGAGTGAACGGGATGAGGAAGCGACAGTCATGGCAGTAGGTATAGCTGGCTTTTTTGGCTGATTTCTT